CGACATAAAGAGGGAACTTAAATAACTCGAATATCTCAACTAAATATAACAGAGTGACAGATTTCAGAACGAACAGCTCAGGGAAGATGGAACAGTTTACTATAGATTACATACGATATATTCATACAGAAACACATAAAACATATTCATATACATACAGTGTAAATGTTCATATACATACAGTGTAAATATTCATATACATACAGTGTAAATGTTCGTATACATACAGTGTAAATGTTCATATACATACAGTGTAAATATTCATATACATACAGTGTAAATGTTCATATACATACAGTGTAAATGTTCATATACATACAGTGTAAATGTTCATATACATACAGTGTAAATGTTCATATACATACAGGATGTAAATATAGTAAACCTGCGTATTAAACCTGTAACACAGCGACGCTGCCTGAACCTGCATTCGGAGTTAAAGAGCAGGACTTAAAACAGAAACCTTTCTTTCTTTCTTTCTTTCTTTCTGTTCATTAGTTTATTTGTTTCTTTCAATTTGTTTTGTTTCTGTCTATTCGCATTTCTTTTTTCCTTACTTGCTTGCATTCTGTTTTTGTTTGTTTGTTTGTTTCTTTCTTTCTTTCTTTCTTTCTGTTTTCTCTTTTTTCTTTATTTGGTTTGGTTCATTAATTTCTGTTACTTTTTATTTACTCTGTTTTTCATTGTGTTTTATTTCTTTGTTACTTCTTTCATTTTGTTTGTCTTTTATTTTGTATTTTTCTTTCTTTCTTTCTTTCTTTTTTTCTTTCTTTCTTTTTATTTTGTTTATTTCTTTGTTACTTTTTTATTTTGGTTGCTTTTCATTTTGTGTAATTTCTTCGTTACATTTTCATTTTATTTCTGTCTTTTAATTTGTTTGATTCTTTCTCTTCTTGTTTGTTTCTTTGTTAGTTTTTAAATATTATTTGTTTGTTTCTTTTTTTTTTTAAATGTTTATTACCGTTCCTCAACCTCAGCTACATCACTCCACTTCAAAATTGATCTCAAACAGAGGTGTGTGTGGGACAGTCCAGCTCCAACATTGTTATTTTTGTTTGTAGCTGCCTGCGATATTTTCTGACCCTGACCAGGCAGTTACTAATGATAAATTAATGAACACTGTAAATGTGTCACACAGCACCTCATGTTAATGTTAATGTTAATGTCACTTATCGTGGTAATTGTTTGTCCCACGTGCTTCACCGACTGCTCGCTCACACCCACATGAACATAAAATAACACTTGTGTGACTTTTTTGCTGCAGGATCCCAGACCTGATGGACACCTCTAGACCTCATGTTACATTTCCACACTTGTCCATCATCTCCAGCAAAGGAATTCACCAATATAATGGATGATCACACACACACACACACACACACACACACACACACACACACACACACACACACACACACACTTCCATATTTCATCCAGCTGTCGGCTTTATTACCAGAGAGTTCCGCACTTCCCTACATGTTCTCATCACCACAGCAGCACAACCGGCTTTAATCTTTAGCACATTAAGGATAAAGAGCGGGGGATGAAGTCTGGAGACAGGAGGAGAGACCGACAGATGAAAGTTCACGAAAATGAATGAAAAACAAATTTTTTTAAGAAAGAAAAAAATAAAGAAAGTAATTAAAAAAAAAAAAGATAAATAGCAAGAATGAACTGAATGTGCATTTCTTGTTGAAAATACTGTGCAGCAAAGGAGGTGTATGTTAGGAATCTGTACGTTATGAGTCTGTACGAGTCTGTACGTTATGAGTCTGTACGTTACGAGTCTGTACGAGTCTGTACGTTACGAGTCTGTACGTTACGAGTCTGTACGTTGAGTCTGTACATTATGAGTCTGTACGTTACGAGTCTGTACGAGTCTGTACGTTATGAGTCTGTACGTTACGAGTCTGTACGAGTCTGTACGTTATGAGTCTGTACGTTAC